CTGGGACTACAGGCGCCCGCCACCACGCCCAGCTAGTTTTTTGTATTTTTAGTAGAGACGGGGTTTCACCATGTTAGCCAGGATGGTCTCGATCTCCTGATCTCCTGACCTCGTGATCCACCCGCCTCGGCCTCCCAAAGTGCTGGGATTACAGGCTTGAGCCACCGCGCCCAGCCTACTTTAAAGGGCTTTCTTGGCCTAGGACTGTCCCTAGGTGTTTGGTGACTTCTCTTCTAGCCCTGTGGCTTCTAAAACACTCCAGAAATCAGCCTCTTCCTTCTCTTTTTTTGTTTAAATCTGATAGTTACAAAATCTGGTAAACCTGGTGTGCACTATTACAAAACATTATTGTGGATTGCTTTTTACTTTTATTTACACAAACACAAAAACTTCTCAAATTGAGGTACAATTTACAATGCAAATCTTTTTTTTTGTTTGAGACAGAGTCTCACTCTCACTCAGGCTGGAGTGCAGCAGAATGATCTCAGATCACTGCAACCACTGTCTTCCAAGTTCAAGTGATTCTCTTGTATTAGCCTCCAGAGTTAGCTGGGACTATGGGCGTGCATCACCATGCCCAGCTAATTTTTGTATTTTTAGTAAAGATGAGGTTTCACCATGCTGGCCAGGCGGGTCGCAAATTCCTGACTGCATATGATCCACTCACTTTGGCCTCCCAAAGTGCTAAGATTACAGGTGTGTGCCACCGTGTCCAGCTAAGTCTTTACTTTTAAATGTGGTAACCTGAAGTTCTAAATATCAAGAATTTTTTAATAAAAGACACTTCAGCACACATTCAGAAGTAAAATATGACCAGTCGCCTTTGGATTTACCTCCACTACTCAAATACTAGAATACTGAGGACCCTGGCCAGCTGGTTCTTAATAGTAGTCAGCCAATCCCTGGCACCCTGTAATCCATGTATCATATTCACTAATCTTCCTATTGCCCAGAATCTTAGCACTTATTTCACCAACTCACTTTGGTGATGCTGAGAGAATTGATTCTAGGGATAAAGACTACTAAGAATGCACAGTGTACTAATTCCAATTTAAAATACTAGTATTGAAGAATGCCATTCTAAATATGTTAATGTTATGCTTAAGCAGTTTTATCTGTAGTTTTGGTCACTAAAATTGTCCAAGTAGAGCAACATCAAAAACTTATTTCATTATAAAAATTAGACTTCGCTAATTCTGTCTTTTAAAAACCCCAATTAAAGATTATTTACCGTAATTAAACACAAGTATATGACTTAGGAACTAAAGCGACAGACTGTTATTTTAAATACATAGTTAGCTATATGACTTGGGAGCTGATTATCTGGTTTCTAGATTATCAAGTCCCTTGAATCTGACTTCTGGTTAATTTCCCTAATCAGTTACGAGAAAAGGAAAGGTAGGAAAAAGAAACAGGAAAAATCTTAGAAATTATTAGCTGCTCTTATAAAACGTTAGGTCAAAGATTTACGAAAGATAAAACCGACAGCTAAACGTATACTTCATTAAAAATTACCAAAAGACAACGGTACACTGATCATAGATTTTTCAACTATACATAGAACCATAACATTTTGTTGAAATAATACTGTGATATACATCTATATTCTTATATGCAAAGGCCAGAAACTCTCTGGTTGGACCTATTTACATCTGTAAAAGATGAAGCAGTAGACCTTCTTTCTAGGAAGTTGGAAAGGCTATGTAAGATTATATATTTACATACCTATCCATTTATTTTACGAAGACTAACTCTTAGAAGACTACTCAAGCAGTTGCTCAAGTCAAGTTGGTAATTGATTAGGAAGTAGGCATAAGCATTCAGGCCAAAAAAAGTTGGTCCTATCAATTCGAGTATTTTACTATGAATACATCATTTTCTATGAAAATATCTTATGTATCTTAGCTAAGTCACCTATTTACAAAACATTTTACATTTGTCACTTAGGCACAGCCTAAGTCATCTTTACCTTTCATAATTGTACACTCTGCAGTTTGCTGTGGCTCACATGGAGAAGTAAGCAAAGACTTTATACCTCTATTCTTTATACCTCTATTTTATGATATAATCACCCATGTATTACTCTTCTAGCCAGTAGGAACATATTAGATTACTTCTATAGACACAGAAAATTTCTGAATGAAAAGGAAAACAAAATCTTACTACATTATAACAGGGTAAAGGTAAAGGGATTCATTCTATAGCAGCGTTTCACATCTGCAGTTCATGAAACTCTCATGTTTCATGAATTAATATACAAATAAACACATAAATCCTAAATTATGCTAGTTTCTTCTAAAATAAAATATATATATATATGAAAAAAACCCTAATACATGTATATGTTATTATACAACAATCTGCTTTTAAGAAATGGTGTGCCATGAATGCCAGAAATCAGAAAAGGTATCACCTGATGTTCTAATGCCTATCTGACCTGTATATTTGACATTTCTTACTGCATGTTTAACATTTAACAAGTGATTTATTAGTTATTTAATGATTACCAGTAAGCATTTACTTTATATCAACTTATATTGTACTTAAATTGTACTTAAAATTCAATTTGTATTGCATATTAAACTAGTTAATACAAATTTGGTAATTTCTAATAGCAATTAATTTGTGAAACTATTTTCCTGCTATACATTAAGGATATAATATATTAATAAGTTTTTTCTATTTTATTACTACTTTATTTTTGAAAATGCTTCCATAATTAAAGTAGTTCTGGAAACTGTTTTATTAGGTATAAGGACAATGACAACTTTTCCCCATTTTTATTTGGCTTGTTATGATATTTTTCTAGTTTTATTAGTTTTTCTTTAAAAAGTAGAGAAAGATGGTCCAGTACGTGACATGGGCAAGAGTCATATTTTTTCCCTACCCATTTAATGCAAGATATACAGAAGCTTTCCTAGCTTATATCTCTTTTAGAATTTTTTGTTAAAAATTCTTACTCTGTCTTACGATGACCAGACTGATCAAGACTATGGCCTACCATTAAGTGTAAAAGTAATGTGCTTATAAGGGATGAGTGCACATTTAAACAAAAAAATATTAAGAGGGCCATGGATATCAGACATACAGTTATTTACCTAGTTCTGCTAAAGAATATTTTTAAATGTTCTGCATGGTATGTCAGGTTATATGTTGCTCTGGCATTATTTCTTGAATACATTTTTATATCCTTGCTGGATTAAGGCACTATAACAATCATTGCTAGATTATATAAGGTTAATAGCAATCCTATAGAACAAAGGAAAAGAATGAAAAAGTTTTAATATCCCACTTAACCGTTATATGCCTTACTTCACCAGTTAGTTTGTCAGAAAGGTTTACGTCCTATGTAACCATCTGTGAGCTTCTCTGAACTAATCTAGACATACAGGCAATAAAAAAAGGGAGGGTTAATCCTGTTTATGGCATATAATACATATATATATGGCACATATAGTATATATGGTATATAGTGTTCTACCTAAACCCAAGGGCAACTCTGGCAATTATAGCTTTGATTATTTCTCATTTTCTCCATCTCAACTGCCAAAAGGTATACTACTTATGGCTTATTGTAGAACTGCTCTTCAAAAGGTACCAGTCTGCTTTCTGATTCAGGCAAAACTTGAGTGAAAACTGCAAACCATCAGCCAAATGTGGAACTATCATTCATAATAAATTATGTTAAAAGAATCCAAACATGGGACTGGACTCATTCCTGCTGAATGGGTAGATGAGACACAAAATGTTTTATATCATCCCAGACTCTTTCATGAACACTTAAGATGAAGATAAGGTTTCTAGTGAACAGTGAACTTCAAGCTCTGTTTTCTTATCTAATCGCCTTTGCTCAGTTTTTTAAGTATTTCACACCAGTGTGCACTCCTATTCAACCAAGAAGAACTTTCTGCATTCTGCGTGCAGCAACACTAGCTTCATCTTCTGAGTCAGATTCACTCTGGGATGTGGAGCTGTGAGAGGCAGAACTGCAAGGGGAAGAGCATTCTGGGGAACACAAGTAGTGCATCAGTGGGAGGCGATACTTCCCACAGAAGTCCACAAATTTAATTTGTCTGACACAGCAGTCAAAGTAGACTCCTAAAGAGAAGAAGGAATACAAAGTAATCATTACAAAGCAAGGAACCAATTTCTTTTTCAGCCCTTTCTCCAGTGTTCTGGAGAAACGTTACATACCATTTTCTGTTATGAATTTTAAGCAGAAATAGTACTTGCTCGTATAGCTGTCTACAAGCCTCCTGGAAGGTCTTAAAGGTAGAATCTGGGTATAAAGAGGTAAACAGAAAATTTATCTTAAAGGGAACAGGTACAGAAAGGACACTGTGTACCTAGCTTCTTTTCTCTGGGAGACTTGGGGCAATGGCTGATGGAGATTTTAGGATACCTGAGGTGCCTTTTCTCTATTACCCAAGCCACCCCCTTGGTACTACCCTACAGTCACAGACTAAAACAAAACAACATAAAAACTCCTTTAATAATTATCTTAAAGAATTAGTATACAAAAAATTTTCAGAAAGGGGATGACTTTTGGTACTCCTATTCTTATGTACTGGGAAGGAAAAATTGAAAGAAATAAAATGTCATTTTACATTTCCAAAGACTGTAAATCTTCAGGCCTCAGATCTGTTTCACTGATGATCTCAACTTGATTCTCATACAATTACACACCTTCAGGTAAACTGAAAGTAATATCTGACCCTTTTTATTCCTAGGTTAGTGCTCCTCGACTGTGGCCCTTCGGTTAAGTAAAAACAGAGCTAGAGCCGAGAGGAAAGCAGATGTTGCTGTGCCTCTGGATTCTAGTTGGTCCTTAAAATGATACTGCAAATCTCTAACAGACAAAGACTGTCACAATGGTTGCAGTATAACCAGAACATCTACAATTTTGGTCCAATCACCTCTCTGGAGAGGAATCTCAAGCTCTATACTCTGCCTAAGTTTCTTCTGGCACCAAATACTGTATGTTTATCACACAAGGGACCAAAATTAAAAGATGTGATCCAAACAAAGGAAAAACAATGAATTCTACTGCTATTTTTTTTCCTGATATCTCAACTAACCATATAGTTTTTTTGATCTTGTAGTAAATATAAAAAAGGGGAAATTTGTGGTATATTACTTGGAATGATTTAGGAAAGTAGATACATTCAGTAAGTTGGTCAATCAAAAACCGATAATAAATCCCCCAAAAGTAGATACATTCAATAAGTTGGTCAATCAAAAACCGATAATAAATCCCCCAAAATGTGTTAGCTTCTCGAAAACAGATGAAAGAAATAAAATAAAGCATTATGGGAGATACGATGAACTAAAGCAGTATAATACTATCTTGTGATTTATAAGATTTCAGATTATACAAAGAGAAAAATATCTCTGAGAATATAAAAGTACTTTTAAGTTAGTTTAATAACTAACAAATTTGAGGGGGAAAATGTCTAACAGATTATCTCAAATTTTAAACTGATAATTTTTTTTTTTTTAAAGAGACAGGGTTTCACTCTGTCACCCAGGCTAGAGTGCAGTGACATGATCACAGCTCATGGGAGCCTTGAACTCCTGGACCCAAGCCATCCTCTTACCTTAGCCTCCTGAGTAGCTGGGACCACAGGTACATGCCACTATGCCCAACTAATGTTTTGATTTTTTTGTAGAGATGGGGTCTCGTTATGCTGCCTAGGCTGGTCTCAAACTCCTGGGCTTAGGAGATCCTCCTGCCTCAGCCTCCCAAAGTGATGGAATTACAGACAGGCATGAGCCACCACACTCGGTCTTAAGCTGTTAATTTTTAAAGCATTTTTGTTCCTAAGATAAATGGCACACCAGTATACTAAAGAAGTCATTAAGGAAATATTTAAGAGAGAAAAGAGAATTCCTGTAGAGGTCCATTTCCAGAAAAGCATGAATTCAAAGAAGAGATTTAGACTTTCAGGCCTGAGGGTCTGGTGTGAATGCTGCCCTACGTGTTTTCCTCTGTCACTGTGAAAGCTAATTCAGGAATGGAGAATCACAGAGAAAAGCGTAAGCACTTTGAACTTGGCACAGTGCTGCAATCTCTACTTCTAAGAGTGGGTGGCCAGAAATGACCCAGAGCATTATCTTTTTTAAACTCAAAGTGTCTTTTTTATCTTTTAACAATCTTTGAATAATTTGATAATTTTCTCCCTTTTAATGTTGTAATAGCTTCAAGACAAGATCGGACTGCCAGAGAAAGTCTCACCTGGTTTTGAACATCATTACACAGCATTTCCTCAGTACCTACTGGATTTTTTAAAAGTAGTCTTTTATGAAGGAGCCAAAGTAAAAAATGACCTACTATCAGTCAGTAATTCTCACCCACACACCCTGGCACTTCAGGCTCTTCACAACCTGGACTCAACGTAGCTTTCCACTCTCATTACTCCCCTAACCTTACATTTGGGGCAAATTACTACTCATCCAACAGTCTGCCCCATACTCTTCCGTCTCCACTTTGTATTCTCCATCTGAAAAATTTCCTATCCTCAATCTTACCCTATCAAAATCTAATTCATACCTCAATAATTAGCTCATTGTTTCCAGATCTAATTAAATGTACTCTCCCCCTCCTTTGATTTCCAGAAGCATTTTGAATTCCTTGGGATACTTACCTGACTCTGCCTTATATCATTTGCATAATTCTCTCCAAATGCTCTAAACTCAAGACATTTTGAACCATGGACTTAAAGTAACATAAAGTTTTGTGTACAATCTGTAACTGGCACACATTCAGCCCATTCTCATACATCTTGAATCATACCCTATTAAATCTGATACAGGGAATGGTGGGTCTAAGAAAATATCCTTCAAATAAATATAAAAGGTGTCCAAACATTTTAGGAACAGTTTTTAAACAATTAGAACTGTTTATACTTCCTTGAGTTTCCTCTCATTTTACCATCTTGATTTATTATCTTGTGACAAGACAGGATGAGACTTCCCGGGTATGTTCCTTATGTATGAATCCTAAAATATTATGAAAAATAATTCTTAAAAAAAACCCAGAGTGAAATGTCTTTTTCATAAATGAGTGAAAAAATAAAGGGAACAGAAATAGAGACAGCTTTTGTCTGACAGAAGACTTAATTTTAAAAAGAGCTAAATGAGTGGGAAATATGAATACTGAATTAACTTACCTCCACATTTTGGGTTTGGGCAATTGCTGGCTGAACCCAAGTATCTAAGAAGATTCCCAGGAAGATCATAGGGAGTGTAGGAAATATTTCGGATCTTAATGGTCCGTGCAGCTAATTCCAGGAGAGTTGGAGGATCATAGGTTAGATCTCTAACAAAACGAACAACCAATGGATTTCCTCGTAAACTCAACTCTTCCAAATGAATAAGGTTGAGGATCTCCCGCGGCAGATATGTCAGCAAGTTATTGTGAAGACTTAGGGAACGAAGTGAATGCAACCTAGAATAAATGCAGTATAAAAACCAATGGCAGTAAGCAACATAACTATCAAAAATATTGAATATATGTGTATATACAGAACTTGATTTCCCCTTAAGAATGAGCAATTAATATTATGGTCAACTGAAGTAAAACAAAAAGGTGCTGAAACTAGATCAAAGTGCAGATTTGTAAATGTCATGAAGGACTTTTGTCCTTAGAATCTTGGCGAATATAGAATACTTAGAGAGTGTTCTGATGTGCTAACTGCTATAAAAGCTAGATTTGAAGATTAGGGGTGGGCAGTGGGCATGCTTTTTCATTTAGATAACTAAAAAAGGAAAGATTTCAAATGCAACAGAAATTAAGCTCCTTCACATTATAAAGCCTAATTAGGATATAAATGTTTCATATCAAATATAAAATCACTAAAAGTCCCATAAAACCTAGGGAAATAAATGCTAATGCTCAATTCTTTGATTACAGAAAATAGACTGAATAAATATTTTGAGGAATAAACCAGAGCATTTAAAAGTGAAATTTTAAAAACCCAGCTCGCAGCAAACCTCAGAACTATAATTAACATGTATCACTTACTTTGAGAATATCTAATTCTTTTCTACATATAAAACATGTGAGTGAATACAAGACAATAATTACTAAGCACAGATGTCTGTGTATATACAAATGCCTGGAACTACTCACTGTGAAAGCTGAGGAGGTACACTTTGGATTTTGTTGTCACATAATACCAAGTAATTCAGAGAAGGCAGATTTCCTAATTCTGGTGGGATTTCTTTAATGAAATTTCCTCCAAGATATAAGCACTCTAAACTGCAAAAATAAATGAACAAAACCAAAAAAGTAAATAAAGTTGAAAAAGATACCCCATTGTGTCTACTACAATAAACACGTTTCATCTATTTATTCAGCAAATGTTTTACTTAAGATTTGCTATGTTCTATCCAGTCTCTAGAGAAACAATGCAATTTTCAGGGAGCTTATACTATAGCTAAGCAGACAAGACAGACCAATGTTAGATAACTTTACAATGAAACACAAAACAAGGCCAAAAATAGGCATTACAATACCAAAATAAGAGGGACAAACCATAAATGGCATTAGGAGTTGAATGAAAAGGAAGATAAAAGTTTTAAAAAGGTCACAGTAGTTCTGAATGGAATATGCTTCCCCAAAAGGCTGTGACTTCAGCTGGGCTATGGACTTAGCCCATTTAGATGAGAAGAGAGAGTACACTTCAGGTTGGAGCAGAGGGCTTGTTAGGCACAATGAATATACCTTTTAATAGAAGAGAATTCATCTTGAGGAATCAAAGATTAAGGTTGTAGAGAGACCAGATTACAAGAACCCTGAATTCTATGCTAGTATGCTTGGATTTGATTGATGCCCTGACAGGCAACGGGAAAACCACTACCTTGTTTTTGAACAGACTTTAAAACTATGAAGCCTCTACATTTCTTCTTTGCTCTTATTATAGCAATTACATACTTCAGAGGCTGTGTAAATTGCCCACTACTATAAAATCAAAGTTCCAGGTAATTATACTGTTTTCCAACAATAGGTTAACATTTTAGACATGGCATATATTGCACCAAAATAGAAAAAAAGAGAGTACTCTTTGATGATTACTGTCGAAAGGCTTCCTTCAAAAGATTTTTGCAGGGGGTAGCACGATCAGTTCTATATATATACACACACACACGCATATACATACACATATATAGTATACAAACATATACAGATTTCTTCTCCCAATACTGTATTACTTTTATCTTCCTGTTAAATCTGCTAACTCAGTAGAACCACTGTTTTTTCAAAACACCTTTAAATGTGGGAGAAAACAGCCTACTAAAGTATTACCTAAACTTCCACAGTAAGAATTCCCTATGATATTTTTAAAGCTATGGAGTCCTGATCCCATCCAGATGCACTAAATCAGAGTCTCCCTCCCTTGAATTGCCTGTGAAGTGGCAGATTTTAGAATATAAGGTGTAATTTTAACAGATAAAGCCAAGTTACCTTGTGCAGTCATGGCTATTTACAAATCCATAATTGGCATTTAAGAGCACTCCTTAACCTACAACTTTGCCAACACCTAGTATTATCACCAGCATTTATTTATTTATTTACTATTTGATGGTATAAAAAATGGTACCATTCTGTGTTTTTAATCTGCAAATCTGTAGGTCCCTAACTATTAGTGAAGTTTAGCATCTTTTTATAGTTTTAGACATTTGTATATCTTTAGAGAATTACCTAGTCATATCATTTACCTATTTTTCTCACGAATTATACAGCTTTATCTCACTGATTTGTTGGGAGCTCTGCTGTTGTTAAATACACATATTCTGCATAACTTTGTTCCTTTGTGGCCTCGAGCATGGTCTATTTTCATTCATGTATTATATGTACAAAAAGAACATGTAGCTATTATGATTGAGCTCTTAACTGAGTAAATTTTTTTCTCTTATTATTTTGCCTTCTAGCTCTGGTGGTTAGTCTCCTACTATAAACATGATTTTCCTTCTTCCCTTAGAGTCCTGTCAATCTTTGCTTTCTTTCCCATTAATATACAGAAATTATACTACAGATACATTCAAGCTCATGACTGCTAAAAACTTCCTGAAGTGAGCCTTAATTAATATGAAGCATTTCTTTTTTTTTTTTTTTTTTTTTTTTTTTGAGACAGACTCTCACTCTGTCGCCCAGGCTGGAGTGCACTGGCATGATCTCAGCCCACTGCAACCTCCGTCTCCCAAGTTAGGTCAAGCAATTCTCCTGCCTCAGCCTCTCGAGGAGCTGGGATTACAGGTCCCTGCCACCATACCTGACTAATTTTCACCACGCCTGACTAATTTTTGTATTTTTAGTAGAGACGCGGTTTCACCATGTTAGCCAGGCTGGTCTCGAATTCCTGACCTCAGGTGATCTGCTCACCTCAGCCTCCCAAAGTGCTGGGATTACGGGCGTGAATCACCGTGCCCGGCCTCTATTTGTTCTTTTAAATACATTTTGCCCTGAAATCTATGTCCTCTGATTATCAACACTGCTTACCAGTTTTATTTTTATTGGTATTTATTTCATTCCATTATTTCATTCAATCCTAGCTCCACAACTTACCAGTATAAAAATTTGGACCAGTTACTTAATCTTGCAGCATATTATTCTTTTAAAAATGGAATAATATTATCTATCATATAAAATGTCCAGTTAACAAATATGAACACCCTCACACCCACAATGTGCCAGGCACCATTCTAGGGAATAGAATGCAAATAAGTTCAAGTTCTTGACCTGAATAAGTTTACATTTTAGTGAGAAGACAGACAATAAATTGATAACATGTCTATTATGCCAGATAGTTTTCAGAGTCACAAAGAAAAAGGGGGAACAATCAGATAGTGATAGAAGTGACACTCTAGAGAGGGTGGTCAGAAAAAGTTTCTCTTAGGAGAAGACATCTGAACGAGATCTAAATGAAATGACTGAGTACAAACCCCAATGGAAAAGTGATTGGTGTGTTGTGAAACAGCAACACAGCCAGTTTGAGTAGACGAGTAGATTAGAGTGACTGAGGTGGGACTGTGGTCATCAAAGAGATCAGGGAGGTAGTCTAGGAAGGCCACATCACTGAATGCCCTTTGGGCCTCTGTAAGAGCATTTTGAAAAAACAGTTCTGAAGAAAGCCTAGTCATTTAACTTGACTTTTTAGAAGGATCACTTTGGCTTTTGAGTGGCAAACAACTGGAGAAGTGGTTAGGGGAGCACTGTGGGCAGGAGTAGAAGGAGGAAAAGCAGATTGGAGCCTAATCCAGTACTTCAGAAGAGAAATGACAGATTTGCCTGGTACATCATTTCCTATCCCTTTCCTTATAACTTATTGGTGTAATTTTATTTTAAGTGTAAATCTTTATAAATGGAGCATAACTTGATGATTGATGTTCGGACTTGTGTTTTCTATTATCATGGTGTCTCCACTTGTGTTTTCTATTATCATGGTATCTCCACATACTTTTTCCCTTTAGTTCTGCTTCTTATTGTGCTCCTCAAGTTTCTTTTTGTTCTTTTCCCTCTACTTCTACTGTTTTGAACTGTATATACTATTTCTATTTTGCTAGGAGTTACCTCCTTCACTTTTCTTTGTACTCTCTCTCACTCTCAAACACATACCCATGCTCTCTTCTGTCCTCTTCGTATGATCTTCTAGAATTAGTTCTACTCTGATTTTCTACTAATTTATTTTATTTCCAATCAGTAATTGATTCAGATTTATCAATATGTTTTACCAATTTGTTCATCTTTTTTTTTTTTTTGAGGCTTATTTCTTTTAAGGTTTTTCTTGGAGTGTATCCTTTAGAAGTTCTTTCAGCAAGAACTCATGATTGATAATCTTTGAGTCCTTTGTCTCTGGCATTTTAATTTTTCCCCCTCACTCTTGAGCAATAGTTTAGCTGGGCATAAAATTCTAGGTTGGCAGTTACTTTTCTTCGGCACTACGAAGATGCTGCTCCATTATCTTATTACAGCCAATATTACTATTGTTTCTTTGCAAGTAATATTTTTTTTTCTTTCTTCAATAGGAGTAAGGATTTTTTCTTATTCACCTTTAATGTTCTAAAGTTTTACTATGACATGTTAAGATATCAGTTTAGAGAGCTCCCTTTCTTTGTGGGAAATTTCAGCCATTATCACTTCACACATTGTCTTTCTTTCATTGTCTTTCTAGAATTGCTCTTAGCAGTTTATTTTTTATTTTTTTTATTTTTATTTTTTGAGATAGAGTCTTGCTCTGTCACCTAGGCTGGAGTGCAGTGGCACGATCTCGACTCACTGCAACCTCTGCCTCCCGGGTTCAAGCAATTCTCCTGCCTCAGCCTCCCGAGTAGTTGGGATTACAGGTGCCCGTCACCAGGCCTGGCTAATGTTTGTATTTTTCGTAGAGACGGGGTTTCACCATGTTGGCCAAGCTGGTCTCAAACTCCTGACCTCATGATCTGCCTGCCTCGGCCTCACAAAGTGCTGGGATTACAGGCATGGGCCACTGCACCCGGCTGCTCTTAGCAGTTTTAACTTCAGGATCTATCCTCTATGTCTTAATATTTCTTTCATACTTTTTATTTCTTTATCTCTTTAAGCTGAATTCCAGGAAAATAACTCAGTAAAATCATTCAGCTTATGGATTCATTCTTTGGCTGACTTCTGTTCACCTTTTAGTCTAGTTAGTTAGTTAGTTAATAATTATATTTTTTCATTTCTAGAAACTCCAATTGCGGTTTTCCTAATTGTCAGTTTTAAAACTCCCTATTCTTGCTTCACTGATGAAGTTCCTTCCTTTACCTCTCTGAAATTAGTAAATGTACTTAAAAATTCGTTGCAGATTGCCTTATTACAGATATTTTCTCAAGTATAATTTTTCTTTCATAATCTCAGCCTTCCTTGATGTGTGGTTATTCAAAATGCCAACTTGAATCAAACATTTTGTCTTTTTAAAAAATACATTAGGCCAGGTGCGGTGGCTTACACCTAATCCCAGCACTGTGGGAGGCTGAGGCAGGCGGATTACTTGAGGTCAGGAGTTCGAGACCAGCTTGGCTAACTGGTAAAATACCATCTCTACTTAAAAAACAAAAAACAAAAAACAAATTAGCCAGGCGAGGTGGCAGGCACCTGTAATCCCAGCTACTCAGGAGGCTGAGGCAGGAGAATCACTTGAACCTGGGAGGCAGAGGTTGCAGTGAGCTGAGGTCGCACCACTGCACTCCAGCCTGGGTGACAAAGTGAGACTGTGTCTCAAACAAACAAATATATGTATT